ACAGTGCGCAGCGCTCCGCATAGAAAAGTTCAAAGCACAAAGGGAAGAGGATTTTGATGCATAGTGTATTATATCTGTGCGATAGTTTATTGAGCCTTTTTTTTTTACAGTTTTAAATTTCAGTTACTGTGCGCATGAAGAACAATTCATAGTGCTCTCTACTCCAGTGTTGTGATCTAACAGACACCCGGTAGAAAGTAACATGCTTTAGAAACAGCACTAAACTCCAGCTAGATAAAGTCCTTTTATGCAAAACCACTGATCTTTATCTACATATCAAGTATAATAATAGGAACAGTGAATCATCTTGGATAGATTGTCATCGTCTTGACTGTCGTAACCGAATGCGACGCGCAGTTTGAATACCGAATGGAGGATGACAGACAGCTGCAGCAGAGAGAAGAGTTAGTGTTGTGATCTAACAGACACCCGGTAGAAAGTAACATGCTTTAGAAACAGCACTAAACTCCAGCTAGATAAAGTCCTTTTATGCAAAACCACTGATCTTTATCTACATATCAAGTATAATAATAGGAACAGTGAATCATCTTGGATAGATTTTCATTGTCTTGACTGTCGTAACCGAACTCGACGCACAGTTTTAATGTTGAATGGAGGATGACAGACAGCCACAGCGGAGATTAGAGTTTAAGTGAACTTGAATTTAACGACTTAAATATTCATCTGTACCTCACATTAAACTATGGAATGGTCTCAGAACACTTGGAATATAATGCAAGGAAACTTTATGGTGCTTTATAATGATTTTGTGCCTTTCGTGGGACTTAATAATAACACAGAATAGTATACGCACAATAGACAGACAGACAGACAGAGAGCGAGAGAGAGATGTACCATGGGTGAGGTAGATCCTCTGAATAATGAATCCATCATGGACACTAAGAAGGTAGATCAAGTTCTGCTAACACACACACACACACTGACATATAGATAGATAGATAAATAGATAGATAGATAGATAGATAGATAGAAGACATATAGATAGATAGATAGATAGATAGATAGACGTACAGTAAATACCTTCACACTTAAGCATTTATCACCAAGCAACTACTGTGAATACAATGTCATAATGGTGTTTTTTGAGGCCAAATTTGATCTGGTAGTCTTGAATGAACTTTTTTTTTTCTTTTCTTGACACAAACCTTAAATTGTGACGCTCAGGGATACCACAATAATGTCTTCAAATGATCTTTGTTTGAGTGCTTTTCTGGCAATCATTGATAATAGTTTGTCATTAATAGTGATTAATCAGCATATTGTGGAATTTTATTTAAAGAAATATAAAATACATGATTATAGTAAGTAAAAATGTGCAAATCACTCCACCAAGAGAAGCAGTGCTGGGTTTTTCCTCATTATAGAATGAAATCCTAAGACGCTGGGCTAAACTTCCATTTGATCGTTTCCTAGAATGGAGAGAGAATTAGATTGTATCTTATCTCCTTCCCCGAGGACACCTTTAACGCTGCAGCATTAACAGTAAATACCAGCAAAACAAACAAGATCAGCCAATCCCAGCTTGGTAATTAGCCTAATTAAACTGAGGTTGTACGCGGCATGATTATACATCATTAATTTCGACCTTACAGTTGCTGTAATTAAGTCGCTCATCACATGAGCTCCCTTGTAAATATCATTTTCACTATTCTCACTCAGACACTTATTTATTTCATTCATTTATTTTTACTCGGAGGAAGAGAGGGCGAGCGAGATGCTGGTTAGATGATTAGCAGCACACGTCTCTCGATTAACTCGAGTGTGTGAGTACTTCACTCTGTGGGAATTCCTTGTTGAATGAACCCTCCTCCTCCTCACTTGAGCAAGTGTAAAACTATTCTTAATTTTAATGCATAAATTATATGCCTATTAATCATTAATACTGTCAATATAATACCCCTCTCCTCAAGCAATACCATCTATTCAGTGACTTCACATAAGTCTGAAAGTGCTTTTAGCTTGCAAAATATTTGGGAGAAAGTCTTCTTCTCAGAGGAAATGCAGCATATGGTGTGTTGATGTGCATATTTGAATGTAGGGCTGCACAGTTTGGTCCAAAAATCATGTTGGGATTATGTTGACAGATTGCAAATGCAGTACATATACTTAAACATCTCATACAGCTACTGCTTGTATATCAAGGCTAAAAGAATAAAAGGCATAAAATCATTTTGAAACAGCAGCTCTCATGTTCAACAGGGTATGAAACACTACAAGCTGGCAAATGATGCCTTTTATTTTCAAATTAAGTTATTTTGCTCACGCTCTGCTGCCAACAAAAGAGTTACTCTTAAGGGTGTTCACCAGGGTACGAAATTAACTTTTAGCCCACCAGCTATAGTGTATATATTTATTTTTTATATTACATTATATTATATTATATTATATTTGATATATATATATTTGAAAAATAAAAATTGCTGGTAAAATTGAGCATTTAACAGCCATTTATATTTTTGAAATATATGTATAAACTCTCAGTATATTGATAAATGTAAAACCATGGTTCCCTGAGAAGGGAACGAGACACTGCGTCCTCTAGCGGTCACTCTGTGGAACGCCTTCAGCGTGACCGATGTCTGAAGCACATGTGTAAACACCACAATAACATTGGCCAGCGACAGCCTATGACGTCACAACCCGAGAGACCATAGTATAAAAGGGCACCGGGAGAATACATCATCTGCTTCTTCCGTCTGCAATAATTAAGCATGCGTCCTGAGGCATGGCAAGAAAAGAGGATGCAGTGTCTCGTTCCCTGTTCAGGGAACCATGGTTACATGTATAACCTGAGATGTTCCCTTTTGAGGGAACTTGAACTGCATCCTCTAGCGTTTGCTATGGGGAATGGAATACCCACACTGCCATGCTGAGGGAAGTGCATGCCATATTTTCTGAGGAGAGCACTAAGCACCAACTCAACAGTGAAACCATCAGAGTCGCCCCTCGGACGCATCAGCGGTTGTCAGTGACACTATCCCCTTCAGCCAAAGGCCCGAGCTACATACCCAAATTAACTTACCTGTTAAGGGCTGACAAAGGAAAGCGGTGAGGGGCACTATTGCTCAAAATCCATCAGGAGGGCAGAATGGACAGCCTAACAACCTGATATGACTGCTTCAAAGGCCTAAAAGAGCAGAGCACTCAACTCTCAGAGTGAGAGGAGAACTCACATGCTCAGAGGGGTGCATAATGGGACTCCGGGAGTGGCATACTCATACGAAACCCTCCAATTTAGGGGAGTACCGCCAACTCAACCATAAGGGCAGTTACATGATGGGAGCTCTGGGGAGCAGCATGCTCAAAGTGACCCTGTAATAAGGGAAGCATTGCCAGGCTCAAACACCGAGGTGGTCATCAGGGAGGCCTTAATCCACCTGGTATGGTTGCCTTGTGGAGCTCCAGTGAGCAGAGGTCTCGACCCTCAGAAAAGAGAGGAGAACTCAGACGCTCAATCTGGGAGCAGCGTGCTTGTAGACAACAGAGTGGAGTTGCTCAACAACTCAATGAGAGGATAACTCAAGCTCAGTACATCTGCAGAATGGTCACAGGGAGCTTAGATCTCAAGGAGCCCCTCAGGACGAGATATGAATAATCTCACCTCATGAGCAGCCTGGCGAGGGTGGCTTCTCGAAGCCAAAACACCCAGCGAGGTCATCAGGGAGCAGGGTACGCAATATCACTCAGGAGTGAGAGGAGTACTGCCGTGCTCAACCTGGAAGCTACCACCTCAAGTAGACCTGGAGGGCCTAACAACCTGAGGTTGCAGCGCTATTCTGGGACCTTGATGACCAAGGACTCTGTGTCATGGTTCTCCAGTGATGGGATGGACAGGGAGGCCCAGTAAGACAGGCATAGCAACCCGCTATCATGGGAACCAGGATTCTGTACCAGAGACGTACCCACAAGCAGCCCTCAGGAGTGCAAGGGAGGTAGAGTCAGGCTCCTGTCCCGGGGAGCAGAATGCTCAACTACACCTACTCGTAGGTGAGGAGCATCAGCTCAACCTATAGACGCGAGAGGATCAAGGAGGCTATGCAGGCCCAGAACTTGGGCTCTACTAGACCACAAACCCCAAGAGGTCACCAGAGCAAAGATAGATAGGGCCCTTATCTCCTGACCTTCGACAGGAGAGGCCAATGTGAAGCCCTACTACCCAGTATTGTAAGTCAGTGGTACAGAACAGAGGTTCCAGATGCACTGCAAGAGGTAGGCTAGTTAGCATACACACAAGAAATTCAAGAAACTAGCGATAACAGTATCCTTAGGAAATGAAAAGGATCTTACTCACCTACCGTAGCTCCTGTGCATGGCTCTCAAGGCATGCAGATATCTTCTGGAGACATAGTTGAAGGTAACCACACTTGGGGTGTGAAGATGAAGAAGAAGATGATGTATTCTCCCGGTGCCCACACTGGGAACCAGTCTGAGATCATGAACAAGATCACTGTCTAACCCCCTAAAACTGATGCAAACTGAACAACCACTGATTTTCAGAAAGCATTTGGATTTTTATTTGGACACATAGTGTTTGACTTATGCTTTAAAGGTAATTTCTGGAGCTACCAATGTGAAACCTTTGAGATTTTTCTCACTGAGATTCATGCAGTGTGTTACAGTTTATCAGGAACCAAGCAATGATTGTATGTATTTGCATATCACATGATGACATCAGTAGCAATGAACTTGTAATGAGGTTCACCTGGAGACATCACAACTCTCAACATGAACCATACATTATTTATTTAGAGAGATGGATTTCACATCGCAAATGTGGATTACCAGCTGTGCTTTGCTAATGTCATAGAATTTTTATGATAAGTTTCAATCACAAAGGCTTGACCAGACAATACCAGTACACAAATGTGCAGTGTGTAATTTCTGCTATGTTAGCAGCACCAAACAGTTGTTGTTGTGTTTCATGATGTCACTCTGAATGCATTGGTTGATTGTGTGTGTGTTTGTGTGTTGCAGGTTGGAGATGTCGTGGTGTGAAGGTTCTGGAGGCAAGATGACTTTGGTCAAGTTGCTCCTCTCCTTAATGCTGCTACACACACTTTCTGAAGGTAATGTCACACTCTCTCACACACGGTTTCTCTCTTTGTTTCTCCATGTGGAGCTAGATTTCCATGCATCATACAAAAGCAAACGGTTTGAGCGTGAGTATTCTAGCATGTGTATGAATACATTTATCTAATAAATTGTCAAGCTGATTTGACAATCAAATTCACAAGCTCGTAAAATGACAGACCCTAAATTGATTTATGTGGAGAAACAGCCAATCAATGCTTTAATAGGAATTTTAATTATTTAAAAGATTTTATACATTTTATGTCTTGCTGTTAAATGGCTGATATTTAAGTTTTGACATAATAGATGAGCTCTACTAAATACTCAGTCTCCAAAATTAATTATTTTCAATGAATTATTTACACAATATTTATATATAAAATATATTCAAATAGAAAACAGTTATTTTAAATTGTAATAATATTTCACAATATTTTTCTATTAAATTACAAAAAGTGGTTTTAGATGGCAATATATCATGTTTTATTGAAGTTTACTTATCATTGCAATTCATTTTCTGTTCACAGAGGAAGTGTACTAGCATTTCCTCCGTTTTTGAATTGTCTGTGTGCACATGGCGTCAAATGAACAACTTTTATTTTTCAGCATCTCACAACATAAGCATTGTATTTTTAAGACACAGCGTCAAGAAAACCGGATCTCGAGAACCCTGTGTTCTGTTCCATACTGTTGCACTCCGTCTAGCTGTCTTTGAATGCGGGAACACATCCATGTCCGAGCTAAATTGCTAGTTAAGCATTAATGTGTTAATTTTAATCAGTCTTTCATAAGTATTTATACAAAATTAATGTGTTAAATTGACCCTTATTAAAATTGAATGTAAAAATATTTGAAGAAGCTGGTTTGATATTATTTTTCGATGTCAAATCAGTGCGAGACATCTACTAGAAGAACAGGACATGTTTTATATGAGCCTGAGGTGACGGCTTGCATCATGAATATTGATGATCTAACAGCAACTGCACAAGCTAATTAATATTCATGAGCCCCGTGACATCACACCCCACCCACTCACGGGTCAAATGTGTCTCTCAGACTTTGAGATTAAAACTCTGATTGTGCTGACAGCGGTCTCTCCTCTGTGTCACTCTCATCTGTTTCTCTCATTTTTCAGCATGCTCTCATTACCTTCCTATTGTCCTTCTATCAGCCCGCGAGTCCTGTCTTTTCTTAGACATCTCACTCCATCACTGCTTTCTTGCTCCTGTCTATCATTCCTCACTGTGTGTGTGTGTGTGTGTGTGTGTGTGTGTTGGACACCTGCAATCTGCGGCGGCACATTTACCAACACAGTGTCGCTGCCACTTAACATCAGTCCACAGGAGTTTATTATTCACTGCCCTCTCTTTCCTCTTCCTGTCTGTGTCCTTTTCTTTTGCTGAACCTCTCTCAATCATTTACACACTCCATCTTTCTTCATGAATCTGCCTTGCTCGCTCTGTCTCTCATAGGTCCTGTGGGAGCTGTTCTCTCATGGTTATTAGCTCTCTGTGATTGGTTCAGGGTTTTGAGGGTTAAATGAAATGGAAGTAAATTAGGGAGGGAGTTTGAGCCCTGAACCCCAGAACAACTGGAGACTGAATGTTAAACACTTCACGCTCAAAAGAGAAAGTTTAAAGGAATAGTTCACAAAAAAGGAAATTCTGCCATTATCCAAACTTTTTCATAGTGACCATGACTGTCAAGCTTCCACAAGGACAAAAACACATCATAAAAGTATCATAAAAAGAAACTTTTGCGCTATATTCATAGTCTTCTGAAGCCATATGATAGCTTTGTGAGATGGACATTATTCACCTCTTCTAACACATTCTTAAGGCAAATATTGGGTACAGAAACAAAATAATAATAATAACAATAACAATAATAAATATAGCTGCAAGCAGCAATGACTGGGGTTCAAGCACATTAAGGCATTTAAGGTGGTATATTTTAATAAGCATACTTAAACATACAGACACAGAGACACACACACATATACAGACATACATGCACACACATTTTGTTTTAGATATAGATATTTGAAATAAATGATAGGTGACACAAAACTTATTGCAAGTCTTCTCTTTTTAAGAGTGTATATGTCATTTTCAGGTTTCACTGTAATCATAATCTGGCATTATTGTAAAAACTGATATGTCTGTATGAACAAAATGGTAAACTTTGACTCAATGTGATTTTAAATGTTATAACAGTGATTTTATAATGTCTTAGCATGAATCCATAGGCAAACCTATAATTAGTACTGTTTTAGGGCATTTAATGAGGCCATTAGTGGTCTTCCACTGCCATCTAGTTGTTATAGATGCAATTTCTCGTACAACTCCTCGACCTCCGTTAACCCTGTCAAATAGGTGCTTAAAAGATTTTGGCCAATGGCGACCATGTTTTTTGAGTTACGCGAATGTCCTCATAGTCACTTGTGCCCCTTTGGACCATGACGCTGCATACCAATTTTCAAGCCGATCGGACCAACAATTGTGCAGTTATCATTTTTATGTTTTTTCCGTCTTGTAGCACCACCAAGTGGCAGAGCTGCGCGGTTTTTTAAATTTGTTCAAAGATTGAGCTTGTACACGTGTACCGAGTTTGGTGAAGATATCTCATTCCGTTCAAGAGTTATAGCTAAAATAACATTTGGCTAACGTTAGCATAGACGTTTCTTTGCACGCTGTTGCGCACGAAAATCGAAATTTCAACTTTTTTTTGATAATTATTAATATTCAGTGTCCACAGAATATTTCTGCAGTGGTTTGGTTCCGATCGGGCGAAAAACCTAGGACTAGTTCGCAAAAGTAGGTTTCGGATATAACTCAATTTTGTGGAAAAACGGAGTGTCGTAGAGCAAAAAAGTTCACTATACACTTTTGTTTGCACTGACCCAAGGATAGCAACGATATATAGTTTTTGAGTCTATGACAAACGGTGTACGATCTACGGTCAAAAATGTCTGAAATTTTATTTTTTTTGCGCTGTAGCGCCCCCTATTGGCCGATTGGGCTGAGACTTTGATAGGTTCTCCCCAAATTGAGCTCTATCATTTGGCCAAGTTTCAAGTCTCTAGGCCTTACGGTTTGGTCTGCACGATCAGTTTTAGGGGAGAAGAATAATAATAAAAAAAATAAAAATCCTAACGATTTCAATAGGGTTTCAGCACTGCGTGCTTGAACCCCTAATAATAATATGAATAAAAATATGAATAATTTTAGCTGGCTTCATTTAGCAAACAGATATTTCCTTCAGTTATTTTAAGTCAAAAATACAAAAAAGCGAGCATATCCCAAAAAACCCGAAGGCTCAGGTGCAGGAACAACGTTACGACCATCAAGTCTTCGTCAGGCACTTCAGTTATTTTCACACTTCATTATACGTTAAAATGTATTGTACAAGCTTTTGTTACTTTCACTGTTCATTTTATTGCTGTATGGTATTTCGTCTTTAATTTAATGTTGCATTAGCGCTGCTCCACTGCAGCGGCTCAATACTTGTATCACAAAACGTTTTCCTAAAATAATGCAGGGAACCACTCGTTATACATTATATTATTGAGGGCCAGATTTACTAACAGCTTGCACCAGCTCAAACCGTTTTTTGGCGTTATAAATAGCACTGTCAGGATTTACTAAAGACGCGTAGTGAAGAATTAGTGCTGAAAAAGCGTGGACAGTTATTTTTGTGCCTGACCTTATTGAATATGCATTTGTAGGAGTTTCCCTTTCAGACACAAAATTTATGGGAGGAGAATATTAAAATGAATCATGCAACGCGGTTTACAAACATTTGCGCTTTTCAAATTACTGGTATTTGCGCCATTATTTAATGCTCCAAAAAGCATGTGTTGAAGCAGACACTAATTTGCATTGCTCTTGGTAGATTGAGTTGGTAATTATGGAAATTATCTGGCTGCTCGGTGTTCTTTAATTTGCACATTGTCAGTAAATCACCCACAGAAATTTCCACTCCCATTAGCGCTTTTTTGGAATTGCGCTCTCATGCTAATTTGCCCTGTTTAGTAAATCTGTCCCTAAGCATGTACTATTTTGGTGACGAAATTTGCGTCATGGGCACTGTACGTGGACCTTCGCGTACGAGTAAAAACCGAAGTATACTTTGGCCTTTAAAGCAAGCAAAACATGCGCATCACTCGCACACATTTGTATTGGTGCAGAATGAGAGAGCCTAGAGCATTTCACACAGGCTGCTAGATTCACTTTCTCTTTAAATAAAGTCATGTATGTTTGACGCTTAAAATAAATGTTGTTTATAATGAATGCCCCTATAATTATTGTTTGTTTTATATTTGCGATTTAGTTTTAATCCAAATGCATGTGCTAATGGAGCAAACAGCAATCAAGATCATACAACAGAAGTGTGCTCTCTCTCTCTCTCTCTCTCTCTCTCTCTCTCTCTCGCTCTCTCTCTCTCTCTCTCGCACGCTCTCTCTCGCTCTCCATACCTTCAAATAACTTTAGGAACTTGTGCATTGTTTACTTACTTGCTTTTGATATATCCCAGCGAACAACAAAGTTTCCAGTTACGTCTGTGAAAAAGGGATATTTGCTTGACAAGCTCACGCATCTGTGCTGCCGCGCACTCAACTCAGCGTGCTCTGCTTATCAGCTTGTGCATATCAGCTATACAGGCGTGAATATTGAATGTTTAACATTAGCTATATTAATTACATACATGTACTTCATAGACATTCTTAATCTCTAATAACTCCATTCTACTCTCTGTTGTTCTGTTGTCGATGATTCTTTATCTGGACACAGCACTGTTTACATGCTGTGTGGTATCGGCTTTTGGTATCGGAGCATTTTATTACGAGTACAGGAGCACAGTATCGGGCCCGATACCCGTGCATCACTAGTTATTTTTAAAAGTAATGAATTACAATATTGCGTTACTTCCTAAAAAAGTAACTAATTACATAACTTAGCAGGGATGCACGATATTGGATTTTTGCCGATAATTTTCAACTCAATTTGGCCGATAGCCGATGCAGATACCGATATATAATTACTTTTAATTTTGGTTAGTTTTTAACAAGAACATTTGTTAGAATTAAATAAATGTCAGGGTTTGTTCTTTACATCTGTAAATAAACTGCACTTGGGTTCTTCACTACACTCGATTGATTTGTTACAATAAACAATAATTAAGTTATTTTATAATGACAGTACATTGAAGTCTTGAAAATAACTATAAATAAACTATATATTAATCACTGCATTTTTTTTTCAGAAAGATGCAGTGGTAACCTTAACATTTTATTTTATGATTTAACATTTGTAAATGGTCTAAAGCAAATAAGTTGTAAAAATTCAGAAAATCATTTTGAGCTCATAATTTGTTTAAAAAATATAACATGATATTACAATATTACACATGATTACACATAATGAATAAATCAGTATATATAAAATTATTTAATTTAAGTGTAAGCTGTATTACTGCTTTATTTAATCGGAAACACAGTCTAAATATTTGTGTATTTTGCTTTCATTTTATTAGAAGTAGGCCAACAGCGCCCCCTAAGGGATTAAAACTCCTTACCGGACGGGCATTAGGACCCAGGGGAGGCTGCTGCCACTGCACATGCTATTACTATTTACTCTATCACACACCGAACGCATCATTCTGTACCTGAATTCTCAGTTTAAATGCAGCGATCCAAAACAGTGAATCCAATTACCATTCAGACAAAACTTTGCTTCAAGAATGAGCCACAATGCTGACGTGATCTAATCGCTAGCACACCCTGAGCACATGTGAGTTAATGTATTCCTCTTATTGGCAAGACATATCGGCATAATTTTTCATATCAGGCCGATGCCGATATTTACATTTAAAGCCATTATCGGCCGATTCCGATATTTGTCCGATAATATTGTGCATCCCTATTACTTAGTTACTTTTTATGTAAAGTAATGCATTATGTTACTTTTGTGTTACTTTTTCTCATCTGGGCTGGGCTTTCTTGTTTTTAATATAAAACATTTCTGTTTGTGGCAAATGTAAAAGTCAACTAAGTAACTGGCATTACTTATTTGAAAAAGTAACTCAGATATTTTCTTGTAAATTAAAAAGTAATGTAACTACTAGTTACTTGAAAAAAGTAATCTGATTACATAACTTGTGTTACTTGTAATGCATGTACCCTCAACACTGGTGGCTTAATTCGTATTAATTTGTTTAATCTGTTTATGCTCATTATTATGAAATTATTCTAATATGCTGATTTGGTGCTCAAGAAGCATTTGTTATTACTATCAATGCTGAATACGGTTGTACTGCTTAATATTTTTGTGAAAACTGTTATGTATGTATTATGTATAATACATGTACCCTCAACACTGGTGGCTAATTCGTATTAATTTGTATAATCTGTTTATGCTCTACTCACATTTAAGTTTAGAGATGGAACTTAATAATAATTCCTTTTTGTGTTCCTCAAAAAATAGAATAAAATAAAAATAAAATAAAATAATAAAATAACGAACTAACTAAATAAATATGGAAAACTGGAAAAAAGAAGGGAAGGGATTTTAATTTTTTAGATTTTGTAGTTTTTGGTTAACTCTCGATTTAAAGGTAGTGTAAGAGGTGAGCTGTCTTCATGAAAAATGATGGTGTCTGTGAAGAGATCTGATATGACGTAAGGTTCTGTCTGACCTGTTCACTCAAAAGACTCTCAGTCAATGTCACAATGGGAAAACATCAGCTATCAAGCCTGTTTCACACATCCTGGGTCTGCAGCAGTGTAATCAGCATAACTGCAGCCACAGGCATTTGTAGAGCTTTCATTAAAACACAGAGTTTTTCTTTGATAATGGCTATGAATTCTAAAATTGTCAAGAACAGGCCATTGAGAGCTTTTACAAACCCCAAAGTGTAAGCTACACTTTATTGTAACGAATGTGTTGATAAATTGGTTTAAACTGGTGCATTTTGACCATTTTCTTTAATCATTATGTGAAGTACAACCAAACTTGGCTCAGCAAGAAAAGCATTGCTGATTCAGATGTGCTTTTATGCATTTCTGCCTCTGTATACTGCCAACAAAGGCAGTATTTTATATGTTACGCACACAGCCATAGGCACTGAAATAAATACACGTGGCTTATATTTTGCCACCACTTGACGTGTGAAACAGGCTTTAGTCTTAAGTGTGAAAATTCAATTAAATCACATTAAGTTTTAGTATTCATTACATTTTAATTTAAATGCATTGGGCTCAAAGAAAATTTCATTAAGCAACAATAATGATATGATTATTAATTTTATCATGACTGTGCTGAAGCCGGGACAGATGTGACAGGCTTCGCTTTTGGTAGGAACTCTCATTAAATATGTGATCCAGTTTGTCGCACACCTAAAACTTGTTTTAATCTCTGCTGCCATTCTGTAATAGTTCAGTAATTAACACGGGCTGACGTGTTACTCTTGATTGGTTCTAGTTAGTGCATATTGGCGGATGCACAGTTGATGGCTCTCGTTTCTTGTTCGGCATCTCCCACTCTTTCTCTCTCGCTCTCTCTCTCTCTGGTTTGTTCTTGCTGCGTTCAAAGCGGAGTCAAAAAGTGATTCACCCTATCAGACACCAGCACTTCACACACACACACACACACACACACACACACACACACACACACACACACAAGCCCTTTCTGGAGTGTGTGTTGTCTCTGTGGCCCACTACCCATGCACACGATCAAAGCTCTCCTGATCTTTCTGACAAATCAGCTTGTCTCCTGCTACCCCTGGAAAGAGAACACACACACGCGTATATACACTGGGGAAACATGTCTCGCACACAACAAGCGTAGATGGGGAAGTTTACATGTCAGAGCATAGTGTGTAGTAGTGAAATATAGAGTGCTCATGTAGGGGAATTCAAGTAAGTTTTGTATGTTAAAAAAAAATTCGATGTTTGATTTATATATTTAAAAGTACATTTATATATTTAAAATATGCTTACATATATTTTAGTGCTGTCAAATCGATTAATTGTGATTAATCACACCCAAAATAAAAGTTTGTGTTTACATAATATGGGTGTGTGTACTGTGTATATTTATCTGTAATGTATATACGTATAAATACACCCATATACATGGATGCATTTAAGAAATATATGTAATATCTATTTATATATTTATTTTTGACAGCATTAATATATTTAAATATTTCTTAGACAAAACACACACACACACATATATATATATATATATATATATAAATATATATATTAAAAGTTTGGGGTTGGTAAGATTTTCTTTTTTTAATGTTTTGAAGGATGTATCTTATGCTCACCAAGTCTGTATTTATTTGATCAAAAATTCAGCAAACAATAATTTTATGAAACATTGCATTTTAAAAGAACTGTTTTCCATTATTTTTTTCATTATAATTTAAAATTTAATTTATTCCTGTCATGCAAAGCTGAATTTTCAGCATCATTAATCCAGTCTTCAGTGCCACATGATATTTTAGAAATTATTCTAATATGCTGATTTGGTGCTCAAGGAACATTTATTATTACTATCAATGCTGAATACAGTTGTACTGCTTAATATTTTTGTGAAAACTTTCATAAATATTTTTTGTTGAACAGAAAGTTCAAAAGAACAGCATTTATTTGAAAAAGGAAACATTTTGTAGCATTATATATATCCTTACTATCACTTTTGATCAAGTTATTGCATTGTTTCTGAATAAAACAATGCATTAACTTGATCAAAAGTGACAGTAAGCATATTTATTGCTTAAAAATAACTTGTTACTTGAAAAACTGAGCTATTGCAAAATGCATTTTAAGTTAATAACATTGCTTTTTTTAGTTAGTACTGCAAAGAACCAGGTTACTGAAGAACCCTATACACAGGTGAATTTTTTTACTGGAGATACAGTAGTACAAGGAACCTTTGCAGAACATGTTATTTTACTGTAGAAGAGATTGTCATATCTCATATACACCAAACTCTCACACAACCCTCATATTGACTGGAGTGGCTCCACATTGAGAGTGTTCGCTTGATGTGTTCATCGATGTCATCTGTTTGCTGTCTAATGTAACAGCTGTAACTGTGTGTTTTCTCTTATTAAGACACATGTCTCTGTCTCTCTCTCTCCTCCAGCCTCTAATCAGCCTCCTCGTTTCCAGAATTACTTCTTCCAGTCGTACCTGCTTATCTATGAGAACACACCAGTGGGTGAGTGACTCTCACAAACACACACACACACACACACACACACACACACTGCTCTATCTGTACACACGCTGATGATGTGATCTTTCTACACATTGTCACAGATGAATTTATTTTCCAGTTTTCATGATTTTAGTCTGTAAATGCTAAATGGACCATGTTTGGTTTGATTTTCAGATTGTTCAGTTGCTTTTGTTTGTAAACAAAGCAAAAGACACATATTAAAAAAATATTCTTAACTGGATATGGGCATTATGATTGCAGAGTTAGAGTATATAGTATGAAATAGTTATTTTACTAAGAAAATCCACAGAAATGGTTTATACAGTACATGAAATCATGTGGTAATGGCTTTTTAAGATAATGAAGTAAAATTAATATTTTTTATAGGTACCTTATTTTTTAGATGAAAATGCTGAAATACAAAATATACATAGAGACCTCTGAACAAAATCAGAAGATTAGTTGCTTAGTCATCTAACAACCAACTGGTTGAATAGTTTATCATGATATTCTTACTTTTTTGTTTGTGTATATATATATATATATATATATATATTATCCCCTGTAAAGCACTGGCACTACAGCCATGCACTTTTCGACATATAAATTTTTTTGGCAAGCATTTTCATTTTATAAAGGGCATTAATACCTCATTGCTGTCTATACTTCCCATATCCCCTCTTTCTACACCTCTTCATCCCTTATTCATAGTTTTCCTGTCTTTAGGTCGAAGAGCATGCATGTTTATTTAACCTTGTGACCTCTTGTTATCATAAGCTGCTTTTGTGCTCTTATGTGACCCTCAGTCTGCAGTTTGCCTCGCTGTTTCTTATTTACTTCTGTTTTTAACCTCTCAGTTGTTATGGACTGAATGATAAACACTTTTTTAGAGTTTAAGTATATTTGGAGTAAAGCACTTACTCTTAGGCCTTACTTTTAGGCCTAAAAAGCGGTTTCTCTTTATAAAAAAACTCATAAGGAGTCACCAAGAGTGAAAACATTCAAATACATTGACTTTATATGTTTTTGTCTGCAGTAAGTTTGAAAAACATATACTTTTTTGTGCATTTAGTGCATTATACAAGAAATACAGATTCAATGTTGTAAACACAACATGCTTTAAGTACTTTGATACTTTTATACTAGACTCGACTCACAATTGATTTCAGTACAGTTTGTCTTAGGCATGTTGTTTAATACTCAAATACAGATAAAATACATAACTGACAAATACAGGTGCATCTCAATAAATTAGAATGTCGTGGAAAAGTTCATTTATTTCAGTAATTCAACTCAAATTGTGAAACTCGTGTATTAAATAAATTCAATGCACACAGACTGAAGTAGTTTAAGTCTTTGGTTCTTTTAATTGTGATGATTTTGGCTCACATTTAACAAAAACCCACCAATTCACTAAAATGATCTGTGGAGTATTTTGAGCTGAAACTTCACAGACACATTCTGGGGACACCAGAGACTTATATTACATAATGTTAAAAGGGGCATAATATGTCTCCTTTAAAAAAAAGGGCCCAAAAAAAAAAAACCGATGGATAACATTAAAGAACATTAAAAATATTTAAAATAAATATACATAGCATTCACATGCTCCTCGGATGCTCTCATTTCCCGAGTTGT